AACAAATGGAACATCCGAGAGCTGTTTGACTTCTTGGTTTACAATCTAATCAAATGTTTGCATTGACTCGGACAGTCCCGATGTTTTATCTTCTGGCAAATATTTTGTTCATCCTTCTGGCAAATGTGCTTTCATGGTCATCATCATTTCATGCTTCAGTTTTTTTTGGAGTTTTTTTTTTGACAGGAAGTGAGGGTTTATAAACTTTTCACCTAAGTGGTGAACTTGCCTGCTCAGGTAGCGCTTGAGGAGCTTTTTCTAATCCAAGAATTGCGAGCTAAAGGCTTATATGCTGTCAAAGCACGACATGCCTCAAAGCAGAGCACAACAGAGTAAATCTACGTCTTTGTCTCCCATCTTCCGTTTTCTTCATCTTGTATAGGCTAACGACCAAGCATGCTCTCAGATGGAGAGCTGATGCGTGGCTTTTTGTATCGTTTGACATGACGTGAATTTATTTTATCCCTCATGCTAGCACGATTGTTGTAAAAGGGATTTATGGGTTTTATATCGAGCTCTGCATTCCAATTTTTGTTTTTCTGCCAGGATCTGAACAAGAGAAGGTAAGACTATAAGGGTGTGGTGATCAATCCTTTGCATGTGAGCAACCTGTCCGCACTGAATAATCTGAATAATGTGATTCATGCGCAGTTATTTTCTATAATTATGTTCTGTGTCAGTGATTCAGTGTGTAAGCGTGAGCATATAGCTTTTGAAATAGCTTTGTAAAAATCTTTTAAGCTTTTAGTTTAGCCTTTTTTTGCTTCTTGTTTTGTTCCAAGTGAACTTTAGCTATCTCTGCATTTTTTAAATTTATTGCTAAATAATATTGTTACAAAGCGCCACATTTTACCTCTGCTTCTGTCCAGTGTGCCGCAGCATTTTCCTTTTCTTTGTTTTGTTTTCATGTTCAAATCTAATGTTAGTTTGTCTGCTTTAGTTTGGAAGTGAGAACCAGCAGTTGGAGTGGGCCAAGCGGGAGAGCAAGCTTGAGGAGCAGGAGAGGCTGAGGAGGCTGCAGCTGCAGGAGCAGCAGGACCTGGAGCTGGCCATCGCTCTGAGCAAGGCCGACTTCTCCAAGTCTTGACCACGCCTGCCCCCACAGCTTTTTGTCCCCTTCTGTTTGCCTTACAGTCTTCCGTCTGCAGGCTCAATTTCAGCACTGACTCCTGTTACGAACTAGTGTTTCTCAACTTGAGATGGGACTCGTGAAATGATTCAATTTGTTCATTGCATCTAAACTACATGTAGAAACAGGGAGAATAAAGAGATACTTGGGATAAGCACATTACAAATATATTATGATCTGAGAATCAGTGGGATACTTGACCACAACTTTATCTAGCTCCGTACCTGGTTGGCAATAATTAACTTGGTTTTTGTTAAAGCCATTTAAAGGAACCCCAGCTAATAAGACTTAATGTGGCATCTCACCAGACTGCGGCCGTTGGGAGACAGTGACTCAAAATTGGGAAAAACGTTGTGGCTTTTCTGTCTGAACTCTTGTGTTTGCAACCTACGAGCCATGTGGCTGTGCTTCAAGTGGCCAGTTTGTGAAGCAGGTGGACATTTGTTTGGCACTATTTAAGATCAAATAATACAAATGAAACCAGAGGTACATCCCAAATAAACTGTATGGACTTGACGTTTAACAGTGCAATGTGTCTTTGCGCCAACCTGTGCTTAGTTCAAGTTACACCCCGCTCCTCCTCCTCCACCCCTCAGCTTGTTCTGTTTACTTTAAACAGCTGATTACAGAAGGTGGAGCTCCTCCAGCAGGAGAAAACTCAACAGACTTGTCTCTCATCCTCATCTTGGTGTACGTTTTCAATTATCTGTTCACAGAAAGAAGCTGTTTGAGGGCATTATTTTTATTTATTTTTTTTAAAGGAGAAAAGTTTTTTTTTAATATTATGACACAAAATCTTCGAGTATTTTAAGTTTCACATTAATATGGCCAGTGTTTATGTGAAGCCACACAAGTCATATTAGTTGGGGTTGAAGTTGGGAATGTTTTAGAGGTTCGATATTAAAAAGCAATAAATCTATAGTGTATGAAGTCAAATGGACTTGAAGCCTGTTTAAGTAACCATGATTAACTCAGTTGTTTATATTGAAAGTTAACAAATATTCATCAGTCTCCCTGTTGGTCTGGGATGAGTTTGTTCATTGCCAGGTGTTCATTACATTTTGTCTGCTGTAAATCTTAATTGATTAATTGCCTTGCTTTCTTAAAGGTCTGTTTCTTAGTGATTATATCATGCCTTAGATTTTATTTTATTTTTTTCAGATGTTAGAAGTTTCTAGTAATTTATGCCTGCATAGCTACTATTTATGGCCTTCAAAGTGCATGAAGAAATATTTGAAGATAATCAAAGTCTTTGAGACGCTAGTGATAATAATTGAGTTCTACAAGCTGTTTCCCTCAGATTTCAGCAGCTTGTGTTTGTCAGAGAGTTTTAACATCGGTTGTCTTGTTGGGACGCTCAGATAAACTTGCACTCCCGTACAACTAAAAGCCTCGAGGAAATGGAAAAGTGTAAACCAACGTTGTTTATACTGGTGCTGTTACAGTTAACGTTGTCCTTTTTCTTTGCTTACGTCTACTTTTTTTTTTTTTTTTTTTCACACTACCAAAGATTTTTTGCCTTTCTCACTATAACAAGATCAAGCATGGGATAACTTTTGCTTTTTCTCATGAATATGTCCTTGTCATAACTGTTATATATATGAAGGAAAGATTTTCAAATGCCTTAAAACAATGCATCTTTCTCTAACTCTAATCAGGTCTTTTTGGCACATAATTGTGTATCCTATCCAGAACAAGCAGAGCGTGCCAGCGCCTTATCATTGAACATATCAACACTAGCATAGTACTGCACAGTATGTGTAATTATTACCAAAAGAAATGCTCTCAAGTTGTGATTTCCTGTAAATTGTAACAGCTTTTTACTGAATAAACAAGATTTTAACATTCCTGGATTGTTATTTTTAAAGCACCTTTCACAAATAACGGAATCTGTATGTTTAAATCTAAAAAAAAATGGAGTATCTGTTACTGAAATCAACAAAATATAAATAGGTTTGGTGATATTTTGTTAAAAAATCCCACGTGCCATGCTTTCATGCTGCATATCAAAGTTTTAAGCGTTGATATTGGAACTAAAAAAAAGTGAAATGAAAGTGATGCATTTGCATTCTTAAGAGAATAGATATTTTTGACGTGGTATGTGCTTCCTCATTTTTAATAAAATTAAAATGTGTGTATGGAAACTAATTATATACTGTTAGGGTTTTTTTATATATTTTAATTGAAAGTACAAGGCAACTGGAGCTGACGCTGTTTTCAATAAACCTGTGGGATTTGATCAAGTGGGGGGGTTGAAAAACTGTACTGAAAGCAGTAATCTATCTATCCTGAATGCCATCTGGCTTTGATATTTGCACTCAATGCAGTCTTTCATGCAGAGGATACAAATGCTCACTGACATAGTGCGTATATTATAAGCATGGATTTGGATACTTTGAAACTGTAGTGTGGAGTGACTATGTGTAATTGTAGTATTAAGGCCCTTTGATGTCTTGCTATAATTTCTACCCATCAGAAAGGGAGTGTAAGGGCTCCCTGATGAGGGTTTGCTGTGCCCCTCTGTCCAGACGGCTCCTGGCCTCACTCTGTAATTGTGAAAATGGAGTGTTTGTATTTATAGGCTGAGCCCACAAGCCGGCTGCCCTTCAGTCTTGCAGCTGCAAAACATCACTGTGGAAATCAAGTGTTTTAAAAGTCTGCCTCCAACGATTGCGAGCTGAACTTTGTGTGACTGAGCTGCACGTATTTTCATGCAGTTGTGAAACCTTCGTTGAGTGGGTGGCTGCGGTTAATCAAAACCTGTGAGCAAAAAAAACAATAGGCAACGAGTCAGGCGTTCCAATTCATTCTTTTCCTTTAATATTTACAATAAATACACATTTTACAGTATAAAATCCATGTACTCATTTGTATAAATTTAAGTAAAAAATAATGCACAGGACATCAAGCCCTGATAGTGTACAGTGGGGCTGGATCCAAAAGTTTTACACCAAGAATTTTTATCAGTTCCACAGTAGAAAAGTTCAGAAATGAAAAAGGCAGTTCAGACACTGAGGCAGTTTAAATAAACATTGTCTCTGCAACTTCTTAGGCAACTGTATATGTGCATTACCCCTGTCAACAAGAACATTTACCATATATATTTTCCCTTTGGCCATGTTGTTCTGTCACAAAGAATTTTACAGTAGAACAGTCATAGAAAGGCACTTTTGTGTCAAACACAGCATTCCAGTTCTGTCAGAGGAGAGTAGTATATACAGGGCCAGCCCCTTCTTGGTCTGCCTGCTCTTAAGCAAACAAAGCTTTTCTAAAGCTCTTTATACAACCAAAGTAGTACCAGCTACGTTATTAAACAATAATAACACTAAAACACTTTTTTTTTTTTCCGATTCAGTATTATATATAAAAACAGATTTGGCCACATGGAGAGCAGTTTAAATTAAAAAAAATAAAATAAAAATACAGTTGAATCACGATACAAAATAATACAGTCCCCTGTGAATCCAGAGTCTTTTTTGTGGGGGGGCTCTTTCACATGTGTCTCTTCATGTGAAGTGCCAAATGGTCAGACCTGGAGAAGGCGCGCTCGCACAGGTGGCACTGGAACGGCCTGTGTCCGGTGTGTTTCCGGAAATGACGGGTCAGCTCGTCTGAGCGGGCGAACTTCCACCCACAGCCCTCCCAGCTGCAGTGGTACGGCTTCTCACCTGCGTGGACACAAACAGTAGAGCTCGTGAGTTTTGGCTGGATTAAAAGAGCAGCGGAGACGGTGGAACGCTGTGCGTAATTACGCACGAACGCCAAGATGAAGAGGAGCTGAAACTTACCGGTGTGAGTTCGGAGGTGCGCCTTCAGGTGGGAGCTCTTGGTGTACGTTTTCCCGCAGCCTGCGAACGTGCAGGTGTGGGTCGCCGTGCGCTTGCGCGGCCAGGTGCGCCGGCCTCTCTTTGGTTTGGCTTCCAGCAGCTCCAAGGGGGAAGAGGGTGGGGTGAGCATCACCCTCTGCGCGCCTGGCTGCAGGTTGAGCCCTTCGTCATACATGCCGAAGCCAGGATGAGGAGCGTGGTAGGACATCTGCATCTGGGGAGCCTGAGGGTGGTGCTGGAAGGCGGTCGGCGCGTGGTACTTCTGCTGGAAGTTCATGGGCTGGCACAGCTGTGCCTGGCAGTCCGTGGCTCCCTGGTCGTTGGGGCTCAGTGGCGGGGTCATGTTGCTGGCTGCGCGCGGAGAGATGGCCACCCGCGGCTGCTCGAAGGACATCATGCACGAAACGTTGCCCTCCTGCTTGATTTTGCTGCAGCTCTGAGGCACCATCCCCAAAACGGGACCGTAACTGTCCATGCTGGGCTCCAGTTTGATGTTGTCCGTGCGGGGGAAAGGCGCCGTGTTCACGTAGAACCTTCCCTGGACGCCGGGAGCGCGCGTAACGCCGAAGCTTCCTTCAGAGCGCAGGAGCTCCGTCATGAGGCTGGAGCCGTACGGGGGAGGCGGGGAGCGGTGGTCATCTGCGGGGTACGACGGCACGGAGGTCCCGGTGGTGAACATGGGGTCAGCTGCGTACTCCACCGCCGCGTCCGATCCAGTCGTGTTGGAGAGAATAAAATCCAGATCCAAATAATTACTCAGATCCTCGTCGTCCTTTCTGCTCGGACTGTCCAGGTTTTGTACCATCTCAAGCATGGAGCAACTGGTTAGTTTGTCCATTTCTCCTTTCCACCTCTGCAGGAACAAAGAATATAACAAGTTTACTCACCAGTCTACAGATGTTTGCCTGAAAACTTCAAAATTTACAAATCACAACACAAAACCAAACATTATTCTCTGAAAAAAAAAAAAAACAACAAACTTACATTTTCCCAGGTTTTCTCTCTTTGGTTGGAGAATGTCGCGAACGAGGGTAGCATCACTCCTGATAAGGCCATCGTTTGGTGAAATAATTACAACTGAAACGTCTCGTCAAAAAAGAATTAAAGCTCAAAGAGAGAGAGAGAGAGAGTCCGTGCGCGCCTGCTTCACGGTCGCCCCTCTCCACAGCTGCGCTCCAAGCACATGAACAAGTTTAAAAAGTGGTAGGAGGTCCTCCCGACCTTTTAACGCTCTGAGGCGAGTCTTCCTGGCCAATTGTGAGCGCGCAGGAAACAACGTAAAGTTCGGTAAATTTAGCTCTTTATAAAGCAGCTGCTGCAGCAGCGGGCTCAGTCTGCTCTGTGACCAGCGGCGCAGCGCAGAGCAGCCTATAAACATCTGGCCCTGCCCCACAGGTGACGCACTAGGCCCCGCCCACAAACGCGCGCGCGCACACACACACACTGTATATGAGCTATAGATACTTACGTAACGCGCTCAAAAGAACAAGTTTTAATGACAGAAACTGCCAGAGGGCAAACCTGTCAGTTGTGCATGTAATCATTACAAGAAGAGGAGAAAAACTTGAAGATGATTACATTTTATTACAGCTGCACTCTGAAAATAATAATATATATATAAAAAAAAGCATTAAGGCGTGAGATTACACTAATGGCACAAACATGCCATGGAGGCGTCACCTTAAGTGACTTTGTTTTCATCTACTTCTGCACACCTTGTGGAAGTTTTAGCCATTACAAAGCCAAAGGTTCTGTGAC